TTGAGCCAATGCAAAAGGTCCCCCCTCCCCAGTTAAGTTAACTTGTATCTCCACTACAGGCTCTGGTGAAAAGCTACTGTACAGAAAAGAAAAATATGTGTTTTCTTACAAGTTCATTCCGTTCCTCTGATAATAATGCATTCCGATCTTCCAGTTTCCTGATGATTGCACTTAGTTCGGCTATTTTAAGTTGGAAGCGCCGAGCATCTCTTTCATCCAACTGCTGTTCCTAAAACAAAAAACAACTGCAAATAACTGTTCACAGAGGAAATATATTTTACACTCACCCGCCACCCCATCATCTTTCTCTTTGGAATCCATCTTTCCCTAACTAATTCTAAAATGAGCATAATCTATGCCTTAATATTGGAATATAAAGCCAATAGAAATTTAGGAAAGGAGATATGTAAGATAGAAGGAATATGTAAAAGAAAGAAAAGAAAGTATGCGTATGTAAATACAGAACCACAAACGCTATAGTTGGGAAAATGAAAGAAACATTGGAAATTGCTGCAATGTTTCCTATATATGCCACTGTTGAATTTAGTGCTTTAAACAGGCAAGCCACCTGTAATTTCCTTATGATATTATGAATATAAGATGTAATAAATAAGTGCAATTCTATCATTGCATATGTTACTTTTGCATGGAACTGTATATCTGAATGGGTTGCTTGAAAACCTCAGGATTGTCTTTTAATCAATCCATAAGTGAAAATGTTTAACTCAAATAGAAAATGAATACAGATAGAGGAGTCGCTACCTTCATTTTTAGAGTAAAGAAAAGAAATTATAATAGCATTTTAACATTTTTTCTTTATTAGTTATTTGTTATTTTAATTTCTTTGGAAACATATGAATTTGTGTAGCAATATTAACACTTTAACTCAAGCAAGCAAATGATGAATCTCTTTGGCCTAATGAAACGCAATATTGCTAGGATTCGTCATTCAACAGGTGCAGGAGAGGCTTGAAACAAAGAAGAGAAAAAGGATTTTGTGCTCATGTTTTTGAAAAAAATCTACAATTCAAATCAAGCAGCACTACAAAAGAAATCTTGATGAGGATCAACAATGAAAAGAACTTGAACAAATGTCACAGAGAAATCTCTACAGTTAGCAAATTAATGCAGAAGCTGGAAGAGTGGCATAGCTACACAGAAAGCCTGCAGAAGAGGTGAATTTGCATTAAATGGTGCAAGGGATTGCATAGTATGAAAGAAGCATTAAAGAGGATGTTAGTTGGTATTCTCTTTCCCTTTCGAAAGAGCATTTGTGAAAATCCAAAGCAGGGATAAATGCTTAGGGCTGGCCAAAGCCATTTTTAGCCTGAGGCAAAGGTTCAAGATGGTGTTCTGCCCTTCTTTTTCATATACTAGAGTGGCAGCTGAATTATAGTTCAGTATTGATGACAGCAGAGTTAGGAATATAACATACTCCCTGAAAGTAAGAACTACAACTTCCTTTTCCCTGAGTGTACTTGCCACCATTTGGTCACCATATTGGTGACAGCAGAGTTAGGAATATAACATAGTCCCTGAAAGTAAGAACTACAACTTCCTTTTCCCTGAGTGTAACTGCAACCATTTGGTCACCATATTTGTGACAGCAGAGTTAGGAATATAACATACTCCCTGAAAGTAAGAACTACAACTTCCATTTCCCTGAGTGTACCTGCCACCATTTGGTCACCATATTGGTGATAGCAGAGTGAGGAACATAGCATACTCCCTGAAAGTAAGAACTACAACTTGCTTTTCCCTGAGTGTAACTGCCACCATTTGATTTATCATGGCAAGGTGATGGTGGCAGAAGATCTCCTCTCTTAGGTAACCCTTAGCCAAATAGTTCACATAGTATAATGTCAGCACTATCTCCAAGAGGGTAAGGTTTGGGGATAGATAGTAAACTGTGTGTTACGCCTCTCCTCCATTGAGTCTCTCCTCCATCACCAAGGATTGTGTAGCATGTCCAACATCTATGGTTTGAAGCAGTAGCTTCACTTTGCCCCATTGTGGTAAATTTGACTAAATTCATACTGATATGGTACTAGCAGTGGCACCTAAGCATCATTTTAGACATTAGCATGTTACTTCATTTGCCCATAAATCAATTACCTTTTGCATTTGTTTGCAGTTGGATTAGTAAGTAGGGTGGCCACCTTAAAAGAGGACACTGATACTGTATCATTCATATTTGCGTGGAAGGAATTTCAGCAAGCATACTAGACATGACATGACAAAGCTGAAATTCCCCCTTCCATATAACAATTAAAAGGACAGCAGCACTGTCTTCTCCATATAGCACCAGGACTGTGTCGCAGCTGGCCGGGAGTCAGCTGCATTAAGATCACTACTGACCGAAAGGTCATGAGTTCGAAGCCAGCCCAGGTTGGAGTGAGCTTTCAACCAAAATTGTGTAGCTTGCCGGTGACCTCTCCAGCCCGAAAGACAGTTGCATCTCGTAAGTAGGAAATTTAGGTACCACTTACGTGCGGAGGCTAATTTAACTGATTTACGAGGCCATAAAAATCTCTAGGAAGTATGCAAAGAATGAGGAAGTACAGTATATTCTGGCGTGTAAGACTACTTTTTAACCCAAGAAAATCTTCTCAAAAGTCAGATATCTAAACTGCTGTAAACCGCTCTGAGTCGCCTGAGGGCTGAGAGAGAGCGGTATACAAATAAAGTATATTCTGGCGTATAAGACTACTTTTTAACCCAAGAAAATCTTCTCAAAAGTCAGGGGTCGTCTTATACGTGGGTGTAGTCTTATGCATGGGAGTCGTCTTAACTCTATATTTTAACTGGAAAAGTTGAGGGTCGTCTTATACGCCCAGTCGTCTTATATGCCGGAATATACGGTATGTGTATTGTGTCACATACAGTTCAGAATACCCTCATGAAAAGGTGGAATGTTAAATAGCCTCTGAGTGTCTGTCTATATATGTTGTGTGTCTATGGCATTGAATGTTTGCCATGTATATGTACATTGTAATCCGCCCGGAGTCCCTTGTGGGGTGAGAAGGGCAGAATATAAATACGGTAAATAAATAAATAATAGCCACTGGCCACCTTACCTTTAAATTGGGGTACCTCTGCAAAATAGAATTAAAGTAGTGTTTGACACCACTTTAACTGCCACAGCTTAATGCTATGGTATCCTGAGAGCTGTAGTTTGGTGAGGCACCGGCCCTCTTTTTTGCAGAAAAGCTAGAGGCCATGTAAAACTGCAACTCAATTTATTCCATACCACTGAACTATGGTAATTCAAGTGGTGTCAAAATGCATTCATTCTAGAGAGTAGGTGCACCGTTAGCCTGGGAAATCAGCAGCATTAATCAGTTTAGTTATGCATTTTCATGCTGAGAGTCTCTGAGAAAGCATTTCAAGCTGTCAGATCAAGGCAAGTGTTCAAAGTAAGCTGTGTTTTATTTATGTAAAAGAAAAACAGAAATGTTTACCCTCTGGCAAAATGAAAAAAAAAAGCATGACCAAATTAAGAGGTCAAACTCTGCTGGTTTTCCCATCATCAACACACTATTAACTGGGAAAAATAAACAAACAAATAAACAACAAAGCCACTTGCTAGGATGTGCTCTCACTCATCAAGATTTTGGCATATTTTTTTCTTGTTTTATGCAAAAACCACTAGAAAGTGCTTACAGGACTTCCTGTTTGCTCTGAAGTCTCTCCTGCACCACTTGCATGAGGAAGTTCCCGCTTGGGGCTGCTCAGATGCCGGTCAGCCTCTTTGAGCTGGAAAAGTTGTTCATCTAAAGCCTCCTTTTGGAGCTGAAGTCTCTGAGCATGCCCGGCTTGAACCCCTAACTCTCTTTCCAGCACGTAGACTGCTCTGTCTTTAAATTTGATCTCCTCCATCTATAAGGAGAACAAAGTACAATCACACACACGCAGGCACTGTACAGTTCTCTCGTGTTGCCTTGGCAACTGATCCACATTCCTGGGAAGGAAACACTTGGAAAAAAGCAATAATCCCCTCCCCCACACCACCTAAAAAAGGTAAAATAGATCATATTCAGTTTTGAAGATTTCACACCCTTTAGCAGTTAGAAGTTTGGGGGAACTGAACACCATTTTTTTTTTTTTGAGAGGACAATCTCGTTTCATTTTTTGGATTAAACTGGTTCGAAATCCATATAGCAAAGGAAAAACATGACCATAAGAACACAACTTCACCAACTGTACACCTTTTCTCTTGTCTCTTTTTGTTGATCTGAAATTTCCACATTTCATTCTATAAGGAAGGAAAAGATGTAAATTTCTGTCGTGTTCACATCAGGTTCAGTACAGGTTGAGAATTCTTTATCCAGAAATCAAAAATGTTCCATAATGTGAAACTGATTACATGCGAGGTTGAGATTTTTTCTTTCTGATGGTTCAGTGTACACTAGAGATGTGTACGGTACCCATTCCTCCTGTTTAATTCATTCTTTCGTTCCTTTTGTTTCAGGCGACGACGCAAAATTAGTACCCCTCCCTCCAGAACAAAAATCATCTTGAAACGAAAGAAAGCGGGAGCGGGTACCATTTCCTTACCTGCCTTTTGGGCCATGTGGCACTCCTCATAAGGTCTGCGGAGAATTACTATTTCCCTCTGAGCCCTGCCTGTTGGGCCATCGGGGAAGAAAAATGCTGCCCGCCTCGTCTGCTGAGAAGTGGTATCTTATGCCCTATCTTTAAACCCAGTTCTCTTCTGCAGACAGAGGGGAAAGCATAACAGAAATCGTGGTATCTTAAGCCCTGTCTTTAAACACAGGCCTTCTCTGAAGACCGAGGGGAATGCATCCAGGAGGAGTGGTATTTTAAATAACTCTGATGCTTTTAATCCAGGTCGTAATGAAGGACAAACCATGCCATTGCCAAAAATGATGGGAGGGGGAGGGGAATTTCCCCCCATTGCTGCCAGTTAAAGAAGAAGTGAAATAATGGGGCTGGGCACTGGGTATGTGTGGTGTTTGGAGCATCTTTGACATTTGGCAAGAAGGAATGGGACCCTACCCTGCCTCCCTCCTCCTCCTGCTGCTCCTGGAGAAGTTACAGGTGGGACTAGCAGGGGGAAAGAGGGATTGTTTTAAAGGAGAGTTTATTTGTAGAAAGAAAAACATCCCTTAAAAATGGGGATAATAATAATAATAATAATAATACTTTATTATCTCCCCAAGGGGACTCGGGGCGGCTTACACGAGGCCAAGCCCAACAATACAGCAATGCAAATAAAGAACAAACAATGACAATAAAATATAAAATATAAAAATAAAATACAAGAAACAATATAAATAAGCACATCAAACAATGTAAAATCACAATTATTTAAACACAGAAAATAAATCACAGTGGGCAGGGCCAGTAGCAAGGATTAAAAATTTAAAACACTGGGTGAAAAGACAATGTAATGTATCTGGACAGGGGATCAGAGGGATGAAAATAGGATTTAATTGCACTAGTAAGTAGAAAATAAAGTGCTTCTGAGGGCATTTTATTCAGGATTTGGTCAGGTCAGGGGTTAAAGTTTAGTTAATCATTCATTGAAGGCACACTGGAACAGCCAAGTTTTCAAGGTCTTCCTAAAGACTGCCGGGGTGGGGGCTTGCCTAATTTCTCTGGAGAGCAAATTCCAGAGCCAAGGGGCCACCACAGAGAAGGCCCTGTCTCTCATCCCCAAAAGTCGCAGGAGTGCGAGAAGGGATCGTGTAGGTTCATAAAAGGAAATGTGGTCACGAAGATAGGGATGTTCAAAAGGTTATAAAACTTGGTGTGCCCTCCATATGTGGTGATTTTTACCCCTCTAGCCCTAAAACTGAAAGGAAGGGGAGTTTGGAGAAGCTCGGCCAAAGTGTCCAATGTCCAATGGCTCAAAATTTTCATTTGGAAAAGTGCCCATTTTTGGAAAGCACTCAAAAATGAAAATGAATAAAACAAACAAAAACGGATAGTGATTCTATACAAATGCACAAGTCTAGTGTACACAAGCTTTGTTTCATGCATACAATTTTAAATATATTGTGTATAAAATTAGCCTAGGTGTATAATATACACATGAAGTAAATGAATTTTGTGTTTAGACTTGAATCCCATCTCCAACATCAAAAAATACCAACATCAAAAATACTTCTGGTACTAACCATTTCAGATAAAGAATGCTCAACCTGTATTACAATTAATTTTGTGTATCAGTTTTTCAATTGGTTGTGCAAATATCATAGTTTAAGATTCTGTAATCAAACTCAATGCAAAACCAGATGAAAATCTTGATCAACACTGATCATTACATCAAATTATCATCATCATACACATTTCTGTCACAGCTATTGCTAAGCACATGACATGATATTTCAATGTTGTTATGACACAATCATCATTGTAATCTTTACACTGATTCTGCAAGGTAAATGAGTGTTTCTTATCACACATCATGAATCTGAGGGCATGAAAACTTACTCTGTATGCTCATGTATAGATCTAGAAGTTTTAGTAAAAAAAAAACCCAAAAAACCTGGATTGCCTTATCCACAGATCATTGTAAGCATTGTACCATAACTCTTATCAAAAAAGGAACCATTTGCTTCTCTTGAGTAAAGTGGCAAAAGACAATAGCTTAATTCATTCTTGGGGAAATCTAAAAGAAGTACCAGCTCCTCTGCTTTCTCCACCTTTTTGAATGCCTGGGAAGGGAAATGGCGGCAGTGGCCAGGGATGGATTTGTTGCTTTCCCCTCTCTGGTGAATGACCCTTGACTTATTCCTAAGTCATTTCAAATTCCATAGATCTGCCCCCAAAAGCTGTATTTGACTTATACATAGGCATATATAGTAATCCTAAGTTACAACGATAATTCATAAAGAGTCAACCTAACATCCTACTTCATAGCAAATAGTCCAGGTCTGTCCATGTCCATTCAGAAGCCAATGAGATTTACTTCCGCATAAATGAGTTTAGCATTTCAGCCTTGGTATTATAGCCTCAAACTATATTGGATGTTAAATGTATCTTTGCATGTATGCTGCATGTTCTGTAAAAATGCAAATTTGATCAGCTAGGGAAATGGATAACTAATGAAATTAAAACAGGCACAGAGGGGGAGAGCTAATCTTTCCTCCCTTTGCTGAAAGATTTTCTCTGAAGAACTCTTGCAATGGGAAGAAATTCCTCATTCACTACCTGCACTGATCCCATTAATTATCAGACCTCCAGCTGGTGCAATTTGCATTTTAAATAAACATATTTTATAAACAATTTTAATAAACTTTCACATGAAATGCTAAGGTATATTTAACATTGCACAGCTAGGCTGCTTAGTCACTATGCTACATCAGCCAGCCCCTATGGAAAAGCATATTAAAAATACAACTGACATAAATCTGTCATGACACCATAGTCAAGTTTGAAAAGAAAGATTCACTTTCAAGATATATAATGTCAATGTTTACAAAGCAGAGTTTCCAAGCTAATCACAGTTATTAACAGATCTTCCTTCCAAATGAGTTTTTATTATTACATGAATGCAGTTATGGAATATATCTGGGACTTAAGAACAAGATACAGCATTTGAACATAAAATTTCAACACTGTTATTCTTGGCTAAAGTTTAAGCGTTGACACTCATATTTCAACACAGATACCTTCTTGTAACACTTTTCAAATTATAGAATCATGGAGTTGGGTGGTGCCTTATGGATCACTGAGTCCAGCCTCTTTCTGAAGATGTGCAGGAAATGGGACCTTACTATATCTCAAGACATTTGATTCAATTGCCAACTGCTCTTATTGCCTAAAGGTTATAATGCTCAAACGAAAGCTACTCTCCTATAACCTCAAATAATTAGATTTGGTCCTACTTTCAGAGGCAGCAGGAAATAGGGCTGCCCCCTCTCAGTATCAACCCTTGAGGTATTTAAAGTCGGCTGCCTTATGTTCAATCAATCATCAATCATAATGCCAAAGATGCTTTTTGTATGTAGCACTGCTGAATCATGTATATGAGCTTTTGGTGTTTGTGGTCTTAGGACTTCATTACATGGATAAATGTGAGTAACATACAACACTTTCACCACAGTTCAGGGACAGAGTTTTTCGGATCCCATCAAATGATGTACATCTACTTCCAGTGGGACTCTGTGCTTGAACTGTGGTGAAAATGTAAAAGGGAGTAATGAGATCACCGGGGGGGGGGGGGGGGGGGGGGGGGGGCTTCCCATGTTCTCATTGCCAACAATGACATGACTGCAGAGGGAAGCTGGGCAGCAATGCTTTCCCCCATGGAATGGGGAAGGCATCACTGTGGGTGATGCAGGGCACAGGGTGACAGATTCCCACGCTGCCCCATGGATTCACCACTCTGTCCCCCCGCTGTCACCTGCGTTGGGTGACTGAATGTGATGAGGTCCTAAAAGTAAAGTTAAAATTAACTTTACCACACTGATTGGTGAATCCCCCCCGCTGTCACTCGCGTTGGGCGAATGAATGTAATGAGCTCCTTAATGTAAAGTTAATTTCATTTCATTTTCATATAGTATTTTCTGTTGTAGTTCAGCCAGCTGCTGATGATGAGGGGTTTGGGTACAGGGCTTGATGGCTCTGTGGATGTGCAGACAGAGGGGATGTTGGAGCATGAGAGTTCTCCGGTTGGGGTTTTTAGATCTAGATGCTGTTCCTCTGTGTGAAAATGAAACTGATTTGGAAGCTGACAGGCAGGGACGGGAGGATAACATGAGCTCATCCAAAGAAGCAGGCTTAGACAGAGAAACAAGTCTACTCCTGCATGGGAAAAAAATCCAGATGCAAGCAAAGCCATGGGAAGGAGAGGCAGATACTTTAGTTCCAGGGTTTGGCTCCAATCCACAATCAGTGGATACTGTGAC